CCACCAGCTTAGCCAGTCAGTGAACTCCAGGTTCAGTGAGGAACCCTGTTTCAAAAATAAGGTGGGAACTGACAGAGGAAGATGCCCAGCATTGACTTCTGGACTCTACATGTGAACACATGAGTGTGTACATGTAGACACGCGTGTAGCGCATGTGCGCAGGTTCACCAACACACACACACACACACACACACACACACACACACACACACACACACAGCCTGAGCAGTATCCTTATTAATGAAGATGGGGCTTAGTCAAAAATTTCATGGGCAACCTTGCTGAAGAAAAGTTTCAGTGGAGCATTGATCGGGCTTGAGAAGGTGAAAGAATCCACCCAAACAAGCATGGCACTCCCTTTTGGAAGAAGACGGAGAGACTGCAAGGCTGAGGCAGGGGCATTCACATAGAATTTATCTGTAATAAGTGAGCACATTTTATTAGGCTTTTGGGAGTCTTCCAACACAGCCGGACAGGGAGGGTACCTAGCTCATCGCAGCTAATCAACAATTCCTCTAAGAAGTCCTTCTCACCCCTCCCTCATCCCCTGCTATTAACCCTATCTTGAGAAAAGCAAGCTCATATTGTACAGAAAAAAATGTTGAAAGTCTGTGGGGAATCCAGAGCTATTTCTTCTTTGGGGGATGCGTGGTAATCGTGATTAAGTAGTTAAGCTGGTAGATGCTTAATTGATTGTTCTTTTCAGTCTACTTGTGGGAAACAATGTACCCTGAGGATGTACACGGAGCAGCCACACACCAAGCCCTCTCTCCTTCTGGAACTTTCCCAGGGCTTCAGGGGGATGGAACTGGATCCTGCCATATTTATACGGCTCCAGCTTTGGTAGTTTGGAAGTCACTGAGGACATGTGCAATAAATTCTCTCTACTGCAAGGGAAAAAAGAACAACTGGGCGAGCCTCCATTTCTAATGGGGGTAGTGAAGCAGATCCCAAGGCCATGGGCTGGCTTTCAGGCTGATGAATGAGTCTTCTCTTTTGAAAGGCACTCAGGAAGTTGAATTCAGAGGCTCCACTAGAGCTATCACAAGCCGGAGGTAGGCTCCTCCCACCTAGCAGCTGGGCCTTTTCATTTTGTGGATGGAGGATACTGTTTCTTGTGACCCTCAAGGGGTTTCCCTCCATATGCTGGAAACACAGCTAAACACCGAAGTAAAGAGGAAGGGTGAGAGATTTCTGATAGGAAAACCTGACTGTTAGGCACACCAGTGATAGCAATGGCCTGAAGTTGTTGTCAAGGAGTCTGCCTGTGACACCAGCGATGGACATGGTTTGATAGCTTGGTACTTTCATATGGGTTTACTCAGTCACCAGGGTTCTATAGCTGCTTCCAGGATATAATCCCATTGCTCCAACTTCCCACCCAGCCTAGAATTTTCTTCCATGTCATTGCCCAGGTAATGGGAGTGGAGGCTCTGGGATATTGCAGGGGCTCCTAGGGAGCTGAGGTACCCAAGGCAACAGTTTTCAGGCAGGGACACACCTTGGTTTTATTGGGTTTAAGGTAAATGCACATTTAGAAAAGTAATTTTTGCCTTGGTATTTAGCCCAAGAGCTAAATAAATACTGAAGCATGTGTGTAATTATGTGTGGGTGGGAGGAATTTTACTCTATGGGGGAACTTTCCCACCCAGAGCACTGGTTCCTCCCAGTCACAAGAGCCACTTAGGGCCCCTGCTCTGGAATCAACTGTCCTAGCATGAATCTTACTGACCTTCCATGAATGGGCTTTCTGTCCCACTGTCTTGTCACCTCTGGCCTACTTGCAAGGTTTCCTTGCACTCTGGGTTGAGGTAACAGCATCTCGGCTTGAGAACGACAAAGCCGCCATATTTCACCAATGTACTACAGAGTAAGCACCATCAAGAAAGAGGATCACTTCCCATTGTCACGGGGAGACCCAATTAATCCCCCAAACCAAGCCCCCATTTCGGAAATGACAAAATGAGAGAAGGCTCACTTTGAAGTGAGAACATGAGAAAAAACTAGTGCCTTCTATGAGATTCAATGTTTGAGCACCAAGGTCCCTTTGGTAGAACAAAAATGTATAGTTCAGGGTCAATCACAAAGTTATACTCAATTTGATGGGATTTTCCCCATTGTTAAAACCAACACCCACTTGTAGCTTCTAGAAGAGCAGAAACTGGGTCTGCATTGTTTGGCATGTTATCCCTCCCCCTGCTGCTTCCCCCTCCCCAGTAGCTGCTCAACGAAGATTTGCAGAACAAATAAATAAAACAAAGCCATGTTATGAAAGACATGAAAAGCTGAAAAAGAAAATGAATCATTCATAATTGCCCCACTGTGGGTATTTTGGCTTATTTCCTTCAAGTCTTATTTCCCGTGAATATGCTCTTTTCTATACATGTAAACATAATGTATTATTAGATTTAGCTCTGGGATGTGTTTTTGTATTTCTCTATTAATATGAATGAAATGATAAAATGAGATGATGCGGAAATGCATTGAGGACTGTAAAATGTTTAACAAATATTTTGTTATTAGTTATAATAAGCAGAGAAGTACGGAAATGAATGAGGCTGCCTCGCCATCAATACTCAGCAACACAAACAGCCACTCTGCCCTTGGATGCTGCAAGTATGTTTCTCTTCATCCTGCTTACCATGGGGAGCCCCTCTGTCTTATCTTGGTAAGAGAAACACTGACTTAAAGCTTCTTAGGAATCATCTGCTCCAACTTCCCACCCAGCCTAGAATTTTCTTCCATGTCACGTATGGGGGCTGAGTCTGGGAGGAATAACGGTGTCTCTCAGTCTACTGAACAGCGGCAGCAGCCTCCACGAATGTTCTCCTTCCCAACCTTCACTAGTGGAGAAAGAAGTCATGGTTCACGTGCCAAGGAACTCAGAGTACTGTTGCGGCAGCCTTGGTAGATACATCCACAAACCACGGCGTCAGGTTTGCTTTAGACAACAAGTCACAATCATCCTCTTCCCCGGCACATCTATTGGTCTAAACCATGCTTGGTTCTTTGAGGCCTTGTGGGCTTGCTCTCCCTGCACAAAGGAATGCCGAGAAAGCTCTCCTTGCCCACATTCCCGTGTCTTCACTGGCTCTCCATCTCGGCCTTGGTAGGTAGGCTTGAACTAACAGTGACACAGTTTATGACAGCTCATGGCTATATCCTTAGGGCAACTCTAGCCCCTTCTTGAAAGGGTCACCCTGAAAAAAGCAAAGTGCTGTAGAAAGACTGAACCTTCCAATTTATATACACCAGAGGATGTTTGGAGACCAGTCCCCCAGGCTCTTTGAGGGGGAGAGGAGTTAGCACTGGCAGTATAACCTGATGGGTTTCACATGGACCAAACCCAGTTTGTGTTTCTATAGTTTTTCACTTCTCTGACTCTGCTCAAGTCCTTTCGGTCACCTTCCCTCATTGTCTCTCTAACTCCTGATGATCTCTGTGTGAGTCTAAGCCTAGGACCATCCACCCTGGACTCCTGGCTCTATTAGAGTAGAATGCTGTTGATGGAAAGGTGGTCTCCACTCTTCAACTGGCTTTGTTTATATCGGCAGGATCCAGGGGCCCACTCAGGCTAAGAGCTTCGGCTTCAGGCTCTCTCCGTCTGTCTGTCTGCTTGCCTATACTGGGCAATCCTGTTTCTCACTCTCCTGATTGTCACATCCTTAGCTCCAAACTTGGCCCAGCTATCCATCTAGAGTCTTCTTTGCTCTCAAGAATACTTTCTGCTTACATCACTTACCTCCATCTCTGGGGGCTGGAGAGTTCAGGATAATTTCCCAGAATCCATCCCCCTGGCCCCAAAACTATCATCCCTGCCACACACTGCATTGGAGACTGACCTTGCCCTTAACCAACTGACCAGGCGTGTACACAGAATAGAGTATGCATGAGCCAGTCATCACTAACACTTCTTCAGAGACTTAAAAAATATAGCCTGTTTAATACTGGGTGTGGTGGCACACCCCTTTAATCCCAGCACTCAGAAGGCAGAGGCAGGCAAGTCTCTGTGAGGTTGAGGCCAGCCTGGTCTACAAAGTGAGTTCCAAGACAGCCAGGGCTGTTACACAGAGAAACCCTGTCTGGAAAAACTGAATATATCTATATATATATCTATATCTGTATCTATATCTGTATCTATCTGTACCTATATCTAATATTGATGGATCCAAAACCAGTTTTTAATTCAGAATATCACTTTATAATGTGTCTAAAGAGCTGTGATCAGTACCAGGTGAAAGACCACAGCAGAACCAAACTCTAATAGTAAGATGGTCTAAGTGTGGCTTCATCTTTATGCTCTGGAACAATTTCTCCCTCAGCAGGAGCCTCCCACCACACACTACTCTGCCTCACCCAGTAAACTGTCTTGGGTAACCTGACTGGGGACTCTCTTTTAGTTCAGGCAAAGCAGACAGCAAATATCCAGGAAGTTGGAGAGAAAAACCCTGCTCCTCTCTGGCTGTTCTTCTTTGAGACTGCCTCCCTACTGAGAGTCTGAGATGATCTCCCTTCTGAGATGTAAAACCCACTTTAGACATGAAAGGTGCCAGCCCTCTCCCTGCTTTTTTGCAGATCCCGCTGGCTGGGTGGGGCTCTGCCCAGGGCTACATCAAAGGGTGGGTGGGAAGCTCACAGAAGAGGCTTTGCTCTTCTTAGGTAGGGAAAGATAGCAACTGCTCCATCCCTTGTAGGCGGCTTTGAATTTCATTAATACAAACGATAAGACTATCAAACCTGGCTTAGCAGTTTGTTTTAGCATACACTGTCAAAAATTAAATAAATGAAAGGAATGGTGGAATGTTGGGGGGGGGAGAAACCCATTCAGTGAAGCAAAAGAGTAAGTTTCATTTCTTGCACAGGTGATTTTAGGAGTCAACAGAAGGTTCTGGAGAACTGATGAAGCATTTACTTAGCATTTTTTCATTTCTCGTCCTCATGCTTCTGAGGTAGCTGGACTAAACTAAGGGCCCATGATCTGCAGAGTGTGGGGAACTTACCCTCTGCTCTTGTGTAGCCACGAAGGTCTGGAACCCCGGAGCCACCCCAAAGCCCAGCTCTTGGATGAAAGGCGGCTCAGACTGACTGTGGATCTGAACCTTCACTCCTGCTTCAAACGTTGTTTCCTCTGAAAGAACAAACATGGACAGAGCCGTGGGTCAGGGACAGCAGGTGCTCATGGGGTCTTGGGCCTGGGGAGCTCTAGGAAACACTAAAGGTACTGCACAGTAGGAATGATGGCTCCACATCTGCAGGACTGAACCCTGAGCCTGTGACTTTCCGCAGAGACATCTTGAGATAGAGCGTAACCTGCATTGTATGGATGGGCTCAGTGAAGTCCCAGGGTCCTTGCGAGAGGGGGCAGGCACCAGAGTTAGAGAAAGCAAGCAGGGAGGTCATGCTGCTGGCTTTAAAGAGGGAGGAAGAGTCACCGGCTATGAGATGGATGAAGTTTCTAGAAGCTAGAAAGGGTGGGAGCATGGATTTCCCCCACAGAGCCTCCAAAAGCAACACAGCATAGCCTCATGGACAGTCTTGGTTTTATAAGCCTAGGAAAGACCATTTCAGAATCGTGACTTTAGAAAGTGTGTGTGTGTGTGTGTGTGTGTGTGTTACATGTGTGTGAGTAGCTCACCTGTGTGGGAGCCTGTGGAGGTCACAGGCTGAAATCAGCCTGCCCTCATCAGTTGCTCTCCATATCATCATCATCATCATCATCCATTATTATTTTGAGACAGTATCTCTCAGTGCACCTGCTGCTCAATATTTCTGCTAGGCTGGATAGCCCCTGGGATCCAATTGCCTTTAAACTACTTTAATACACAAGTGCTGGAGTTACAGGTACACACCACCATACTCAGCTCTTTCATTCGGGTTCTGGGTAATTGAACTCATGTCTTCATAGTGGTATAAGCACTTTACCTACTGAGCCATCTCCCTAGTCCAAGACCTTAGAACTTTTTATTGTATGTATGTATGTATGTATGTATGTATGTATGTATGTATGTATGTACCTACCTATCTATGTTTTTGAGACTAGGTCTCATTATGTAGCTTTGGCTGTTCTGGAACTTACTCTGTAGATCAGTCTGGTCTCAAACTCATAGAGATTCACCTATCTCTGTCTCCCAAGTGCTAGGATTAAAGGTGTGTGCCACTATGCCTATCTAGATTTTTTAAAGGATTTGCTTTTATTATTTTAAGGTGTGTGTGTGTGTGTGTTATATGCACTTGGTGTAAGTGTTTACAGAGGAGCTGGAGTTGAAGGAGATTATAAACTGCACACTGGGGATGCTGGGTGCTCTTTCTCTGGAAGAGCAGCGTGTGCTTTTAATCAATGAGCCATGTCTCCAGCCTGTGACCTTAGAATTAAAAAAAATGTGTTGTTTTCTGTTACAGCCAGAACGTGAATCTAATTCAAGTCAATTAGGCTAACTCCCTATCTCAGTCACCGTATTTGTAAAATGTGATTAAGAAATGAGTAACATCCCTTCCCAAGCTCCCATCCAGCCTTCTGCATAGATTCTCCGAAGCTCTTATGTTTTATTTACTAAAAATCTTTACTGGGACATGAGCTGAAGTTGAGAATGTCAGGAAGAGAAAAACTGTATAGAATTAGAAATGAAAACACAGGGCTTCCTTGAATGCCTGCCTCCTCTGAACTTCAAGAGATAGGAAGCCAAAGCAGAGGCCACCCTGACAGCTTGGGTGGGAGAAATGACCCTTGGCAGCAAGAAGTGACTGGAGAGGCAGAGCCTGGCTTCTCAGTAAGTTGTGTTCACTGTTGCTAGAGCAGAGCATGCACCAAGGGGACTGCATCAGCTTACAGATGAGGTTCCAAAGTACAAACCTGTATAGCTCTCCCTTTGCTTATGAGGAGCCTGGCTCTGCAGCCCTGCCCTCCCACCCCCACTTCCAGCCTTGCTCTGAGCATAGTCCATGTGGTCACACCTCCCAAGGCTGCCTGGATTGGCTGTTGCTGGTTTCTGTTGCACACGGGCACACAAATCCCCTGCCTCAAATGTCCTTCTGTGTCCACCTGATCCTTAACGTATTTGCTGCGAAGAACTCAGTACCTCAGCCCCACCCAAAACAACTCCTTCTCTTGTGCAGTTATAGCTCCTGTGTCCATGTGCCAGAGTGTCCATCACACTTCTGTGACTGTCCCTTATCTGTCTGTCTCCTTCCTCAGGCTGCAACATCTTGAAGCCCAGGCTTGAGCTATGTCTGTGGGTCTTAGAGCTCTTCAATAGGATACCCAGACACCTACTGAACGAAAGAGTGGGTGCTCTGGAATTGAAGCGTACCCACTTACTAACAAGCAAGGCCACTCTGGACTCCAAATTAAAGTTTTCAAAAGAAAAGAATGGGAGATGGTGTGTACATGCAGAAATGAGGGGAAGTGGAGTAGAGGGTGGGTATTGGGGAGGGAGGAAGGACATATCAGTGCTGGGTCCGTGGCTTAGGGAAGGACTGGGGTGCATAAAAGCGGCCAGAGAAGAAAAGGGATGTGTGCAGCTACAGGGATGTTAAGACTATAGAAAGTGTAACAGTTACTGACTGAGGCAGGCTTGGCTTGCTCTGTGGTTTGGAGCTGGTAAGACTCCAGAGTCAAGGGTGTATGGATAGTAGGGTCCAGAAGGCAGAGAGAACTGGAGAATAGATAGGAAATACTTTCATAATTTAGACAAGGCATCCCTTGGTTGACATGGGGCTCCATGAAAAGAGAACCATTGCCAGGACACGGGCTTTAGATAGGGCTCCATACACTGGGACAGAATCATAGGCAAGCTGTGGATTCCCCCTTCCTCCTTCCTGTGGTCAACTGTTCTGTGGTTCCTTCACCCACATCGCCCTATCTGTGATGGTCTGAATGAAAGTGGTCTCCACAGGCTCAGACTGTCTCTCCAGCTAGTTGAACTGTTTGGGAAGTATTATGAGGTGTGGCCTTATTGGAGTATTGTACTGGGTGTGGGATGTGAGATTTAAAAAATCCATGCCATTCCCACCCAGTTCTCCCTCCCTCCCTCCCTCTCTCTCTCTCTCTCTCTCTCTCTCTCTCTCTCTCTCTCTCTCTCTCTCTCTCTTTCTCCCTCCTTGCTGTAGATCAGATGTGAGCTCCCAGCTACTGCTCCAGCTCCATGCCTGGCCGCCTGCTGCCATGCTCCCTGCTATGATGATCACTGACTCACCCTCTGAAACTGTAAGCCCCAATAAACTCTCCTATGAGTTGATCATGGTGTCTCTTCACCCAAACACCCATAGACACAGGTTCCTGTTCCCCTATGGTTTTCTATCACCATCTCCTATAAATGGAGGACAATGTGCACACTGATGGTGAGAGACAATTCCTCAGAAGAGACACTTCATTATTCCCCCCAGCTCCTGGCCTTACCCATGGCGGGTAGATTCTCCATGAAGGTTCTTTTGGTCAGGGAAGAACAAAGAGTGAGAGTAGGGTGCCCAGTGATCTACTCACAGCAGCTATGTTCTCTAACTTCTCCCCAAGAAAGGAAGGGAGGAGCCGAAGCCCAGGCTGAGGCAGTTGAGAATGGTGGGATGCAGTAGCTACAAGGATGCTTGTGCTGTGAGGAAGTAAGTGCTTTCAGGGAGTCCTGGGAAGGAACTGGCAAGACGCCCGGACTTGTTTCTAGCTAGTTGAAGCTGCTATACAACTGGGCTCAGGAAACCTCCTAGCCAGTAAAGACAGGTTCAAAGCATGACTTGTGGCCTCCAGGAAGAAATGAGAAATGAAACTTTTCTGTTGGAAACGCCGTGAGTAATGGGCAAAACAATCAGCCTGGGGAGCCTGACCAGTGAGAGCTGCCCAGGAACAATCGGTCTGGGTTAGGGGTTTACAAGAGACCTTGGTTTATTCTAGAAGCAATAGTAGTTGTAGCAGAGAATAAAACTAAAGCAACCTCATTTTATTTTACGTTAACAGCAGCTGGATGGATGAGAGAAGTAGAAGATGGATGTTTCTCTCTCTCTCTCTCTCTCTCTCTCTCTCTCTCTGTGTGTTCATTGTATTCATGCTGTATGCACATGTTTTATGGGTGTATGCAAGTATTCTGCAGGTACACCTGCACTATGGCCATTGGGTGTCTTTTTAAATTGATCTTAACTTATTTTTTAAAAAGCTTTTTTCTTAATCCCCCTTCCCCCTCCTCAGGTCGGCGAGGTTGTCTCACAGGCCCTTTACCAACTGAGCAGTCTCCTCAGCTCCCGGTTTCTGATCATCTAGACTAGTGCTGTGCAGAGGAAATGTCTGTATGGAAGGAACCATGTTCCGTAACCATGAAGTGTGTGGCTCCAATGATGGAGAAACTGGACCTTTTATTTCAACTAATGGAAACAAACCGGCAAAGCCATTATGTAGCTAGTAACTTACTGGAGAACATGGTGGGGGTGCATCTAATTCTGAGCCTTCTCAGGCCTACAGGAATGAGGGTGACTTCATCAGTCACTATCCTGCCCTCTTCTTGTCCACACAGGTTCTGGGCAACGTGGGTGTAGATCTGAACAGCAGACGCGGAGTATTCATGGGCAGACCAAATTGCAGTCCTAGGTCATTCAGCTCTACTTTCCCCAAGTCTCATTTCCATGTCTCTAGATAGATTTTGCTTCTGTTTCTCCCTAGAGCTGTCCTTTATCTCTCTCTGGATTGTTCTCTAGGTTGCTTGTGAATGGCAGCCTCCTCCAGCCCCTGCTCTCCGCTAGCCCATCTCCATCATTTCTTGAACATGCCACTTTATTGAGAGCCGAGGTGCCAAATACAGATTGTTAGAACCAAACATAACCTCAGAACCCCCTGCTTTGGAGGTTCTAGAATACTCATTTAAATCACCCAGAGAGGTCAGACTCTCTCTCTCTCTCTCTCTCTCTCTCTCTCTCTCTCTCTCTCTCTCTCTCTCTCTCTCTCTCTCTCTCTCTCTCTCTCTCTGTATGTGTGTGTGTGATAACCTAGGATCTAACACTAGAAATTCTAACTCAGGTATTACGGGAAGAATCAGGAACCTTCATTTCCAGGAATTCTTTCCAGGTCATCTAAACCACATTTGGAGAAATAGTGATATAGTCCAAAAAGAGAATGACAAGGTCACATAGAAAGGCAAGGGCATAGCCAGG